CCCCAAAACCCCAAAACCCCAAAACCCCAAAACCCCAAAACCCCAAAACCCCAAAAATAAGAAATCTTATTGAAATCAATTATTTAATATCCCTAAAAATGTCGAACGAGAACTACGAGGAATTTGACATATTCCAGAGAAGGTCTTTCTACAAAGACTCTAAAATACAGTAAGGAGCTAGAAACCAATTTGGGCGTCACACCAGGAGGAAACCTCTTGGGAAGGGACCTTCCAGGAGTACCTCCTTCTGGGAACCACGCATTTTATTGGTAGTCCACTCATAAGTGTAGCGAGAGCTTTGGGATTATACACAAACAAAGAATTTCTCTTTTGGATTGGCACTTGTTGTCTAATACTTGTTTATAGATCAATGGGTGAAGAAGACATCTTCTGTGACATTAAGATGGAGAAAAGATTCCGGAAGCTGAGCTGAGCCGATGAGAAGGATTTCAAGGGAACAATGAAGTCCTTTATCATACCTCCCAGATTTCCAGAACCCCTAGAGTTGCCTCCACCAATCAGTGAGGTTGCTCAAGATGGTAAGTTAATTCTTTCTGAAAATGCTGATTTTCTACAAAAGTTCACCTAATTTTGGTTCTTACCAAAAATTAGAAAATTTGTTTGAAAATTCTCTCAAAACCTCTCAGATTTTGGAGAGATCCGTGGAATTTAGTTGAGTCAGATCTTAGTAAAAATAATTTTCACTAATTTGCTTAAAATTTTCGAAGAAGTGTGTAATCTGACAAGACTGTAATTAACCTTAAAAATCTGATTAGTGATAGACACCCAATCTTATTTGAAGCTTCAAGAATAATAGGATAACATAGTCGACTTAGAACCTAAGGCTTAAGATGTCTACAGCATTAGAAATTTTGTTCCAAAGTCATATCATTTTGGGAATTATTATTGGAGCTTTAAGATGAAGTCTCATGCTGACAACCACAACTTGGAGTTTTCAACACAGTAGCTATCCGAGCTCACTTTACCATATAGGAAGCATTAATGAACCAGAAGAGAACCTGGACATTGAGCTAGATGAAGAAATTGCCAAATTTGAAGAAGAATTAAGAGAGCTCAAAATTATTAAGCACAGAGTTTCAAATTCTGATTTATGCCCACAAGGTAATATTTTAAAGCTAGACATCGATTTTACTCATCTTTTCTAAGTACAAAATGGTTTCAATTTTATAATAGATGCATTCTCTGGCAAGAAAGTGAAATCAGACCAAGATCAGTCTAAGCTGTTCAAGCGGGATGCGGCTAAATCTCATGGAAGATTGTAAGTTTCATCCCTTAACATACTACAGACCTGACCCAGTTCCTTTTCAGCTAGGAATATTCGATAAAATCAAGGCTGAACACAGCAGCCAGATCCATCTTGAGGGAGAAGAACTTGACCCTGTGACACTTGAAGGTTTCTAACAAGATTATTGATATGGCCCAATCTAATTTTTTTTAATTCTCTTAACACAAACTTAATTTCGCTAGTTCATATCTTAGCCAGAATCCTTCTTTAGCGTATCTACCTTTATAAATTATAATGAGATCTGCTACTAAAGGGGTTTTGGGGTTTTGGGGTTTTGGGGTTTTGGGGTTTTGGGG